GAAATCTACTTAGCATCATAGCAACACACACCCCTCCACTTACAGACGGGTTATCTGTACTTGAAGTAAGATTGGCTGGCAATCAAGCCTGGATCTCTCATATGGAAGACAAACCACAAATATCTCCCTTCAGCCTTCCTCACTAGACGTTATACATTCTTCATATATGTGATGAGCTGTATCTTAGTTATCTAGTGTTGCTGTAAAAGAAATATTACAAATTCACAGCTCCAACAGAAACATTTATTTCCTCACAAGTTAGAAAACTGCAAGTTTAAAGTTAGAGTGTTGGTTCTAGGGTAAGGTTTTCTTTCTGTGTCAATTCTGTAGGATGGTCCTTGTCTCCACTTACCATCTAAATGCACAGGGTTCCTTATGTCTTTCCATAAATCTTCCCCTTAGTCTAGAAGGTTTGCAGAGCAGGGAAATGAGGTCTAAGGAATGCATCTACTCTCAACTCTTATATTTTGGTAGCAATAAGGTCCTCACATCTGGCTTCTCTCTCCTTTTACCTCTTGCAAGGTAACAGGTGTAATTCAAGTAGGGGAGTATGCTCAAAATGGATAATAATCACATAGTGTGTGGGGTCATAGGCTAGTGAAGTTGATATAATTTAGTTGGTACTGTTGTTAGGTGTCATCAAGTTCAGTACAACTCATAGTGATGCTATAAACAACAGATTTGTACCCTGCCCTATCCTATGCCATCCTCATCTTCTCTGACACACTGGAGCCAATTGCTGTAGTTCACTGTGTCAGTCCATCTCATTGAGGATCATTCTCTCTTTTGCTGATCCTCCACCTTTCCAAGCATGATGTTTCTTTCTAAGGAATAGTGTCTCCTAACAACATGCCCAAGGTATGTGCGATGAAGCTTTGTCATCTTTTCCTCCCAGGAGCATTCTGGCTGCACCTTTTCTAAGACATACCTGTTTGTTCTTTTAACAGTCCATGGGATATTCAGTACTCTTCTCCAGCAACACAGTTCAAAGGCTTCAATTCTTCTATCATTCATTGTCCAGCTCTCAGATGCATAGAAAGTGATTAAAAAGACCATGGCCTGAATCAGGCACACTTTAGTGTTTAAACTGGCATCATTGCTCCTCAGTAATCTGAAAAGATCCCTCACTGCAGATTTTCCCATTGCAATACAGCCCCTGATCTCTTGACTGCTGGTTCAAAGGGTGTTGATTGTGGATTCAAGTAAGATGAACTCATTGACAAGTAAGGTGAAATAGATAGTGGATGGGAGAATGCAGTTCTGTTCCTGACAGGCTAGGAGACTGATATTTCAGAAGTTTATTTGACAAGCCTTTGCCAATAGTTTAGTACCTCAATTTACAATGAGGCTATTTGGTACCATTTGAATTAAGACATACTAGGAAGAAGGATTAGCCATCTACTTCCTAAGTAAAAGGCCTTGGAAAACCCTATGTACAATAGAGCACACTTAGACTAGCTGAACTGTAGCTAACTAAGCCCTCAAGTATGGAAGCAGACACTACTGACTGGGATGTGCAATGTGAGAAGCGTAAATATAGGAAAATGGGACACTGTTAAGAAAGAAATGGAACACATGAATATTGACATAGTAGGTCTTGGTGAAAATAGATGGACTGGCATGGGACATTTTGAATCAGATGATCATGTAATCTACTATGCTGGAGATGAAAAGGTGATGAAAAATGGGTTGCTTTCATAGTTAAAAAAGTCATTTCTAGATCCATCCTGAAATACACCGTTTGAGTGATAGGATAATATCTGTATCCATACAAAGAAGTTTATGCATCAACAACTAGGGCCAAAGAAGAGAAAATAGAGGATTTCCACAAACTTTTGCAGTCAGAAATCAGTTGAACATGCAATAAAAATGCATTAATAATAATGGGTGCCTGGAATGCAAAAGTTGGGAACAGAGAAGGATCAGTAGTTGGAAAACATGGATTTGGTAAAAGAAATGAAACTGGAGATAGAATGAGAGAATTCTGTACAATCAATGATTAATTACAAATACTTTTCATAAGAATCACAGACTCAGGCTATACACATGGATTTCACCAGATGGTATGCATAGGAATCAGATCGATTACATCTGTGGAAAGAATCACTGGAAATGCTCCATTAGCTGTGAAAGCTAGGCCAGGTGCTGATTGTGGAACAGACCACCAACTGCTTATATGCAAATTCAAGCTAAAGTTAAAGAAAATTAAATACAAAGGAATCAAAATATGACTTTTAGTCTATCCTACCCAAATTTCAAAACTATCTCTGGAACAAGTTTGAGAGGATATCAAGAATATCCATGAAGAATGCAAAAAGGTCATTACAAAGACAGAGGAGGAAGAAAAGATAAAAATGGATATCAGAGAAGACTCTGACTATTGCACTCAAGCACTGAGAAGCCAAAGCAAAGGGATCTGACAGAAGATTTTAATGGGCAGTGCAGGAAGACAAAGTAAAGTATTGTAATGAAATGTGCAAAGAGCTAGGAGTCAGAAAGTCAATTGGGCCAAACTTGCTAAGCATTTCTTAATTTGAAGTACAAATTCAAGTCTCGAGTTGCAATACTTAAGGATGGTTTGGGTAGAATATTTAATGATCCAGGAAGCATTAAAAGAAGATAGAAAGAGTATACAGAGTCCCTATATCAAAAGGAATTGCCTGACACAGAAGGATTTCACAAAACAATATATGAGAAAGAGCCTGTGGTGATGAAGGAAGCAGTTCAAGATGCTCTGAAAGAACTGACGGCAAACACGTTGACATATTTGAACAAATAGACGTTGCCCTGGATGTGCTCACCAAGTTGTACCAAGAAATCTGGAGGAAAACCACCTGGCCAACTGACTGGAAGAGATCTATATTTGTTCCCATTCCAAAGAAAGGTGATCGGACAGAATGTGGAAATTAAAGAACAGTAACATTAATATCACATGCAAGCAAGATTCTGCTGAAAATTATCCAAAAATGACTGGAACAGCACGGTATCAGAAAATTGCAGGTTGGGTTTAGAAGAGGCCGTGGTACTAGGGATATTACAGCTGATGTTAGATGAATCTTGGCTGAAAGCAGAGAGTATCAGAGAAATGTCTGTGATTCATTGGCTATGCAAAGACATTTGATTGTGTGGATCACACAAATTGTGGCTGACTCTGAGAAGAATGGGAATCCCAGAACATTTGATTGTGCTTATGCTCAACCTATACTTGGACCAGGAGACAATCCTCAGAACAAAGCAAGGAAATACTGCATGGTTCAAAATCAGAAAGGGTCTATGCCAGGGATGTATCCTATTTCCTTGCCTTTTCAATCTACCTGCAGAACAGATCATCCAGGAGGCTAGGCTCTATGAGGAGGAGGGTGGCATCAGGTTTGGGGGAAGACTCATGAACAATCCTCGTTATGCATATGACACAACTCTGCTTACTGAAACAGAGGACCTAAAGTGCTTGCTGCAAAAGGTCAAGGATTACAGCCTTCAATATGGATTGAAGCTCAGCTTCAGGAAAACAAAGATTCTCACTACTGGGCTGATTGGTAGCATCATGATAGACAGTGAAGAGTTTACTTGGCTCCACAATCAGCATTCTTGGTACCAGCAGCCAGGAAATCAAAAGATAAATTGCATTGGGAAAATCTATTGTCGGAAACCTCTTGAGAGACCTCTTCTTTACTGAAGAGTAATGATGTCAGTCTGGTGACTAAGGTGTGCCTGAACCAGTCTTCGCAATTACCTGCTATGTGTCAGAGAGCTGGACAAGGGCTTATTAAAGAGAATTGATGCCTTTGAGCTGTGGTGCTGAAGAAGCGTATTGAATATACCATGCACTGCTAGGAGAACAAACAGGTTCATTCTGGAGAAGGTGAAACCAGGTTGTTCCTTGGAGGTAAGGATTCTAAGGCTTTGTCTGACATACTTTGGGCAAGTTGCAAGAAGGGACCAGACCTTGGAGAAGGACATAATCCTTGGAACGGTGGCAGAATAATGCGAGAGAAGAAGGACCCTCATGAGACGGATTAATTCAATGACTGGAATAATGAAGGTAAGTCTGTCAGAGACAATAAGGTTTGAGGAGGACTGGACACCATTATTAGAAGTCCAGCCCACACACGGGTTGGTTTCAGGGTTATTGAGAGTTCAGCCTGCAAACAGGTAACTTTTGGGTTTAATATTAAAGAGAAAATAGTGCAACAATGAATGAATGGAAACCTCAAATCTCTGTAAATGTTCATTAAAATTAATAAAATTTAATTTAAAAATAATAAAGAGAAACCTTTGTCCTCTGTCCTGCAAATGGGCTGGGAACTTGGAGGTCTTTCTTCCTGTAAATCATATATCTTAAGTTGTTTCGGTCTCCCAACTCCTTTCATGTGAAAAGCAACATCTATCATAAGGAACAGTGTGCGTCCTCTCCTTTCTCGATTGTTTCTGTACTTACCTTTTTATGATTTTATGAAAACTGAGATATGAGATCACTGTTTATTATGATTCTATAGAAACCCTAAAAAATGAGATCATTGTTTAGACCACTTTAAATTCCAATAAACACAGCATCACAATGCTGCAGCTTCTTGTCCTGTCTGTCTGAGGGTGTTTTTCTTTGCTGCAGTTCTGTCTTGTCTTCTGTGTGCTTTTGTCTCTTTATGTTGATTTCTTCCAGGCATTGTGTAAAGGGTTGCGGTTTACAACAAAGGTTGGCACAGGATAGAGCAGGATTCAGGATTGTTGTACATAGTGTTGCTATGAGTTGCAAGTGACTCAACAGGACATAACAACAACCATTTCAAAGAACCTACTTGGTTCTTTTAACTCTTGGGCTTCAGCTGACCTTAAGGCATAAGCAGTTCTATTTTAATATTGTTGTGTAAGCCAGTTAGAAAACTATTTTTAACCTGACGGTGATTTCTCCTCCACTAGCAAAACAATCATCAAACAAAGATTTGGTCAAATTTACAAACATCCTCTGAGGTTTGAGCTCTCTCCTTCCCTCATCTTTACAGGGACCACCTGGGCAACATGCCGTATACCACAATGTGTATCAAGGAAGCACTCCGATTGATCCCTCCAATCCCATCCATTTCCAGAGAACTCAGCAAGCCCATTACATTCCCAGATGGACGTTCTTTGCCTGCAGGTTGGGTCTTTGCCTACATTCTTTTCCTAAGTGGTTTATAGAGACCATGGGCTAGTGGGGAGTATAATGGCAAAGATCAGGATTACTTTGTTTTCATAAAGTCAACATAATCATTGTTTGGCAGCATTTGAGACCCAGGATGGGATCTCAAAACCATTATTTTTGTCTAGGAGACCAGAAGGGCATTTGGGTTCATCATCATCATAACGTCACTCATATGTATACAGTATTTAATAAGGAGTGCCTTCACACATATTATTTCATATTTTTAATATAGTGCTTTATAGTTCACAAAGCACTTATAAATAATTTCAGTGTAACCAAAAACCCATATAAGGAGACCCCAGTGTGCTGGTGAGGTTAACTGACCTGAACAGAGCTAGAACTGGCTCAGAGGTCCCGTGACTGGAGCCTAGTGCTCTTTGTCAGAATAGGGAATGTATGAGACACAGAGGCCATGTGAATTGCACTTTTACCTTGCAAGTTTCAGTGTTCTATTAATTATACCCTTGGACATAAGCCAACAGAATTGATTAGAAAAAACACAGCCTGTCACCTATTGCAACTTTATCAACAGACCTAGAATTCATTTACCAGAATTAGCTCTAGTAACGGAATAATCCTCAAAGTCTCTTTTCAGTCTTTACTTCTCCTCCAGACTACATGGACATTTGATAAAACTTCCTCCCTTCCATGTATGAACAGTGGCAATAGGAATTTGTCCTTTAAGTTGCATGATCACAGTTCTGTTCTTATTATTCAAACTGTCTCTAATGAGTGTTTTATAGTCCATTAACAGATGTAAATAATTTCCAGAGGTAGGAGAAAATGTAGTAACTTATCACTTTGACATGATGCCAATAGATCCTAAAGATAGAGATGAATTAAACAAATCATAAATCACTGCTTTCAAAATAAATGTACCAACCCAAGCTTATGTGCTTTTCATTGCCAGCATCAACTACCAGAGTTCTACTAGAAGCTAGAATCTTTCTTTTTAGAAGAAAAGGCTTCTTAAAAGGTCATTTAACAGTAGCCCACTACTTTCTCACTCAGTCTTTCTCTCCTTTAGGAATCAATGTGGTTCTCAGTATTTGGGGTCTTCACCACAACCCTGTCATCTGGGAAAACCCAAAGGTATGCCTGTCTTGGGTTGAAATATTTTAAAGAAATAATACTGCAAAACACATTTGTTGTTGTTAAGCTTGGAAGTATCTAGCTGGTTAAAAGAAATGGCATAAAACAGAAAAAGAAAACACATTTTAAAAAATGTCTCCACTAAAGGAAAATTGTCTTCTGTTTTAATTTTATATTTGCTTTGAATTAACAAATTTTTCAAATTAACAAAGACCACACAGTGCATCCTAAGCTGTCATTGTCTTCACTCATTCATTTACCAAGGTTCTACCAAGGATTTACCTAAACTATCTGCAAAGGTATGGACTGCAAATTAATCCAGTAACTCATTTTCACTCATTCATTTACTAAAGTTCTACCAAGGAATTACCTAGACTATCTGCAAAAGGTGTATTGCCATGGGAAAGTCTGCTGTTAGGGACCTCTCCAAAGTACTGAAGAGCAATGGTGTCTCTCTGGAGACTAAGGTGCGTCTGAT